AAGAACAGTAAAAATGCGGAGGGAAAATTCCCTCCAATCAATGTTATCTGGGGAGGAATATGTTCTCGGAGGGAACACAAGCGTCACCTCAGGGCTCTGACCCATCAGGTGAACCATGCTGACATTCATCTGCCCCAGTCACCGATGCCAAACATGACGTTCATATCCGCTGACTGCCGGGGAGTGACATACCCTCACGAGGACCCGTTGGTGATCATCGCCACGGTGGCCAACCACGACGTCAACAAAGTTCTAATTGACGGTGGTAGCGGAGCAAATATTTTGTTTTGAAAGGCCTATAATCAACTCAAGCTGAAGCCTAAGCACCTCACGCCGGTATCCTACCCAGAAACCAGATTCAATGGGGCTTCAACTTATCCTGATGGGAAGGTTCTGCTTCCTGTCACCATCGGCTGCGATGAAGCAGCTAGGAACGTCATGACTGAATTTTTGGTCATCGACGCTCCTTCAGTGTACAACGTGATTTTGGGGAGATCCATAATTCACGAGATCCAAGGGGTCGTCTCAACTTATCATTAGCTGATGATCTACGTTTCAGACGCCAGCTTCCCCGAAAGGGTCCAGGGCAGCCAAAAGGAGGCCCAAAGGTGAAACTACCTCAAGCCATCCACTAGTCGCCCAGATGACGACGATGAGGATAAGGAGGAGAAAGAAAAAGAAAGAGAGCCAAGCACAAAAAAGCCGAAAGGTCTAAGTGCTTCGGCCCAAGGTTCTGTGCCCAAAGAGAAAGGGCCAGAAAAAGAAAAGGCCAGCTCTTTATCTGAGCCGAAAGACTTAGAGAGCCAGCCGAAGAAGAAAAAGTCTGGGACGCCTGCTGACATAGATATCAGGCCAGATTGTGAAGAGTCCAGCCCATCAACAATGGACCTGGACCAGCAGACTGAAACGGTTGAGTTGACCGAAGGAGACGCTGAGAAATGTGTAACAATCGGGATGGACCTTGATCAAAGTACCCGTTGTGAACTTATTCAACTCCTTCGGGACAACAGAGATGTGTTTGCTTTCTCGGCAGCTGACATGCCTAGGATAAGTCAAGACCTCATCTCCCATAAGCTTAACGTCGACCCAACGTGTCGGCCAGTTAAGGAAAAGAAGCGGAATTACTCCGCAAATAAGAACCGAGACATCGCAGCCGAGGTCAAAAAGTTGCTGGACGCGGGATTCATCGAGCCCTGTCAATATCCAGAATGGCTGGCAAATGTGGTGATGGTTTAGAAGGCCAATGGTACCTGGAGAATGTGCGTTGACTTCACGGACCTAAATAAGGCTTGTCCGAAGGATTTCTATCCCTTGCCGAGGATCGATCAGCTAGTTGACTCGACAAGTGGCCATGCCTTGCTTAGTTTCATGGACGCATTCTCAGGGTATCATCAGATCTTCATGCACCCCGACGACCGAGCAAAAACGGCATTCGTCACGAACGCCGGGGTGTACAATTATAAAATGATGCCCTTCGAATTGAAAAATGCGGGGGCAACTTATCAAAGGCTGGTGGATCAAGTTTTTGCCGATCAAAAAGGCCGAAACATGGAAGTTTATGTTGACGATTCAATCGTCAAAAGCAAAAAATCTGAAGACCATGTTAAGGACCTGGCTGAAACCTTCGCCACCTTAAGAAAACATCAAATGAAGCTGAATCCGAAGAAGTGTGTCTTCGGCGTGAAGTCAGGGAAATTCCTTGGGTTCATGGTCAGCAAGAGGGGGATTGACGCCAATCCCTCCAAAGTCAAAGCAGCGCTCGATCTTCCTGAGCCAAAAACAAAGCGGGATGTTCAGCGGCTCACCGAAAGAATGGCAGCCCTCTTGAGGTTCATTTCCAGGGCTTCGGACAAGGGGTTACCTTTCTTCAAAGCCCTGAAACTCCCAAAAACAAAAGAGCTCGTTTGGGAAGAAGTGCTAAAAGAGGCCTTCAAGTAGCTTCGGGAGCACCTGGCTCAACTCCCGACACTAGCTAGTCCAGTAGAGGGAGAAACTTTGTATCTGTACGTGGCTGTCAGCCCAGCCACCTCCAGTGCGGTGCTGCTGAGGGAAGAAAATAAAATTCAGCAACCGATCTACTTCGTCAGTCACACTCTGACGAATGTCGAGACTCGCTACCCTCTACTCGAGAAAGTCGCCTTTGCAGTAGTGGTAGCTGCTCGGAAACTGAGGCCTTATTTTGATTGCCATTAGATAGTGATCTTAACTGATCAGCCGCTGGAAATAGTTCTCGGCAAAGTTGAAAAATCTGGTAGGCTGGCCAAGTGGGATTTCAGCTCACCGAATTCAGCATCAGCTACTAGCCGAGAGCAGCCATCAAGGCTCAAGCTCTAGCGGACTTCTTGGCCGAATGCTCGTACCAAGAGACGCTAGACGATGAAAAGAAAATCTGGACCGTGTTTACGGATGGATCCTCCACCGTAAATGGTTCGGGGGCAGGGGTAGTGATAACCTCTCCCGAAGGCAAATCCTTTGAGTATGCACTAAAATTTTCTTTTAAGGCTTCGAACAACGAAGCTGAATATGAGGCAGAAATCACTGGCCTAGAATTGTGCATCTCCTTGGAAGCCGAACATGTCTGCCTGAAGACATACTCTCAGCTAGTTGCATATCAGATCGGTGGCAGCTACGAGGCCAAAGAGTCCTCCATGATAGCCTATCTTGCCAAGATCAAATCAGTCATTGCAAAGCTGAGAACTTTTGAAGTTCAGCTGATCCCAAGGGGTCAGAACGCTCAAGCCGATGCACTCTCCTAACTTGCCAGTTCAACTCTCACTGAGCTGAACATATCTTTATGCGTGGAAGTGCGCCGAGAAAGAAGTGTCGACGAAGCACCTGAAGTGTGCTGCACTGACCCAGAGCCCAGTTGGATGGATCCCATCCTAGCTTTCAAGCTTCGGGGAGAAATTCCCGAAGATAGAATTTTGGCCTCCAAACTGAAGAGAACCAGCTCAAGGTTCATCGTCTTCAGAGGGGAGCTTCTGAAAAAGTCCTTCTCAGCCCCATTGCTGAAATGCGTGGGGCCAACAGATGCATATTACATCCTTCGGGAGATTCACCTCGGCATCTGTGGGAATCACATTGGGGGAAGGACCTTAGCCCACAAGGCATTGAGGGCCGGATATTACTGGCCCACCATGATCTCAGATGCTAAGGAGCTGGTCCAAAAATGTGAAAAATGTCAAAAATTTGCACCAGTCATCCATCAGCCAGCTAGAAACCTTCAGCCGATCCTTAATCCACTCCCATTTGCCCAATGGGGGCTGGATATTTTGGGACCCTTTCCAGATGCACCTTACCAAAAAAGATGGTTAATAGTCGACATCGACTATTTCAGCAAATGGATTGAGGCTGAAGCAGCTTCGAATATCACAGAACAAACTGTGAGGAAATTTATCTGGCAGAACATTATTACCTGCTTCAGTATTCCGAGGGTCTTTGTCTTCGATCATGGGAGGCAATTTGATAATCTGCCGCTGAGGCGGTACACAGATTAATTCGGCATCAAATTGGCATATTCAGCAGTGTGTCATCCACAAAGTAATGGCCAAGCCGAAGCTGCAAATAAACAAATCCTCAATGCTTTGAAGAAAAGGGTTGAAGATCAAAAGTCCAAGTGGATAGAGGAACTTCCAGGAACCCTCTGGTCGCTTCGGACGACTGAAAAAGAGGCAACGGGCTATTCACCTTTTGAGCTGGTGTATGGTGCCGAAGCCGTTCTTCCAGTGGAAATCGGCTCTGAGAGTCTACGAGTGCACCACTTCTCGACTGAGAATGAGCAACTTATGAAGGAATCTCTCGATTTCCTCGATGAAGTAAGAGGCTCAGCCCGAGACAGAATGACTGCTTATAAGCAGAGAATCAGCAAATTTTACAACCGAAGGGTCCATGCAAGGCCTCTCAAAATTGGAGACCTTGTCCTTCGGAATGCTGCTGCAGTTCAGAAAGGCCGAATCCATGGGAAACTCTCAGCTTCATGGGAGGGACCCTATGAAATATGTGATGAGCTTCAGCCAGGGACATACCGACTTCGTCAGTTAGATGGAACTGAGCTGAAAAATCACTAGAATGCTGATGTACTTAAGAAATATCATGTGTAAACCCTTCGGGGCAGAACAATCTTTGTAAGTACATTTTGAATCATTAATGAGAGGCCTCAGAGCCACCATTTCTATAATTATTTGCAACTTTTTATTCTTTCAAGTTTTCTTTATTCTATCTACTCTTTAAGGGTTTTTATTCAGCCTCGTCTGAAACCTTCGCCTTTGGGTAACTGGGTTTCAGATTGCTGACAAACTTGTCTTTTTAAAGAACTCTAGTCTTTTAGCTGAAGTCAAACTTCAGTAAGACTTGTTCTCTAAAGACATGAGTCCATGGACAAATCTGGGATATTGCCTTAACTGAGCCTTGTACCCCAGAAAGCCATTATCCGAAACATTCCCTTCAGTTGGCCTTGTGTTTCGGATATCCATTTTAAAAGATAGACAGAAAATCAAGGATAATAGCACCTGCTAGAAATTTTTTATTCAGCTTCGTCTGAAAGTTCAAGAAACAAAACCCAACTCAGCAATCCAAAGACTTGAGTCTTCAGATTTCTGGGGGGGGCAACAGGCACTATCAGTGCAAGTTTATCTTCAGCAGAATTCTTCAAGCCAAAAGCTTTGTACTTAGCAAATTTTTGCGAAATTTCTCAAGTTCAGAAACAGTAAAGCATTCAAAGTAAGACAAAGCAATTGAAGAAAAAGCATCAGATTAATGAGAGTAATGCTCAGAAAGCGAGCTACAAAGTTTAAGTGTTCAAATAAACTAAAAGATTATATCGGCAGCCGCCCACAAGCGGAAAATAACAGCTGCCAAAATACGTACAGAAACAAAAATAAACTGTTTGTACATCAAGGCAAGCTGAAGCAAAAATAAGGCAAAAAGAGATTCAGAAGGAAGCAAGTCTGAAGTTAAGCACATGTTGATCCGCAAGACTCTGAAGACGACTGCCTGATTTCCTATGCTTCAGCCGGAGGATCAGGCTGGTCAGCTGGGTCTAGCCCCGGGGAAGTCTCGGTCCCAGCAGCGGAGGAGGCAGGTTGTGCCCTTGCCTGAGCTTCAGCGGCTCGCTGTTCAGCCTCCAACTCCTGCCGCTCAGCTTCCTCCTCGGCTTGTTCAGCCCAAAGGATTTCATGCTCAGCAGGAGTGGCATACAGCATGTGCGGATCCTCGGGGTCCTGAGCCCAAAGCGCACACTTAGCCTAATCCAACGAAGGCTCAGCATGGAGAGCCAACCTCCGAGCCACCTTAAATCCATTTATGTAGCCCATTTCTTACTCTTCTTGGGTATAGAGGCGGACTTGGAGCAAGGCTTCAGCGTCAGCCAACCTCTTTCGACTCTCCTCCAAATCCTTTTTAGATTTTTCTAACTCCTCTGAGAGTTTGGAGGAAGAAGTCTTCTGCTCATTAAGCTCCAGCTGGACGATGGAAGTCTCGGCCTTGGCCTGGGTCAGCTCATCTCCCTTAACCTTCATCTGATCTTCAAAGTCCTTCAGCTTCTGGTCCTGGCTTTCAGCAGCAGCTTGGGCAGCAGAAAGGTGAGCTTCCCTGGCCTGTTGAGCCTCTTCAGCAGCCATCCTGCTGGACTTCAGACCCTCCAGCCTCTGCTCCATCTCCCGAACTTGGCCAGCAGCCTCGGCAGCGATTCGACGAGAGATAGCCGCCTTGAAACTAGGGATGTCAAATGCTCCCAGCTCGTTGATGACCCTTTCCCCGGCCATCAGAGTAGGGAAAACCTCAGTTTCCGTGGCGTGGCAGAAGGTCCAAAGGGCCTCAGCAGCCTGCTTCTCAAATTTTTCGGTCGCTGCCTGCCTCTCTTCAGCAGCCTGCTGTTTCAGCTCAGCCAGCTTCGCCTCCTCCCAGGCACGCTGTACGAAGGGCTTCTGAACAACTGTTGTACGAAGGGAGTTCATTGTCTGTGTTAGAGATGGCTTCTAGAATCACTAGCCTAAAGTGTGAGTATAATTTGCCGCACAGATGTGTTGATGGATTTGCTTCTTTGGTTAATGAAGCGATTCCTAACAACAACCACATGGCCGAGACATTCTATGAGGTCAAGAAAATTGTTAAGGGGTTAGAGCTGCCCCATGAAAAGATTCATGCATGCCCGAAAGGATGTATGTTGTTTTGGAAAGATGATGCTCAATTATCTACATGTAGGGTGTGTGGCAGCGACCGATACAAGAAGACTTCTAAAGGTAGCTTAGTGCCTTTGAATGTTCTATTTTATTTCCCTATCACACCTAGGTTGCAAAGGCTTTTTGCAACTAAAAACATTTCTGAGGAAATGACATGGCATGCTAAAAATCCTCGAGTTCAAGGCACAATGGCACACCCTAGCGATAGTGAAGCGTGGAAACACCTAGATAGTTGCTTTCCTGAGTTTGCCTTTGAACCTCGTAATGTTCGACTTGGCCTATGTAAGGATGGATTTGCTCCACATGGTCAGTTTGGGGGACAATATTCATGTTGGCCTGTCATTTTGACCCCTTATAACTTGCCTCCGTCAATGTGTATGAAAAGACAGTTCATGTTTCTTTCGTTACTCGTTCCTGGTCCTAAAAACCCTAAGGGCAACTTGGATGTTTACATGCAGCCGCTCATACACAAGTTGAAACAGTTGTGGGAAGTTGGGGCAGATACTTACGATATTTCGAGAAAACAAAATTTCAATCTTCGAGCAGCCATCCTATGGACCGTTAGTGACTTCCCGGCTTATGGTATGTTATCTGGTTGGACCACAGCCGGTAATAAGGCTTGTCCATATTGCATGGAGAAAAGCAAAGCGTTTTGGCTCGAAAATTGTGGTAAGGTTTCTTGGTTTGACTGCCATCATCAATTCCTTCCGACAAATCATCCTTTTCAAAATAGTAAAAATGCATTTTGTAAAAACAAAGTCGAAAAAGGTTCACCACCTCACATCATGTCAGGAGAGGAACTTTGGGAATGTGTGAAAAACCTCCCGAAAGCAACAGATGGCCCCGAGGCGCTGAAACGTGTCAAGAATGCAAAAAAAGGGTGGTTCAAGCAAAGCACTCTATGGGACCTTCCATATTGGAAACATCTGCTTGTTCGTCACAACTTAGATGTCATGCACGTTGAAAAAAACTTTTTTGATCAGTTGATTCACACTACAATGGACGTGAAAAAGAAATCTTGTGACACCCCATCAGCTCGGAATGACATTGCTAAATATTGTAAACGGCCCCAGCTACATCTTCAAGAGGATGATAGAGGAAAAGAATTCATGCCAAAGGCTCCATTTGCTCTTGACAAGGCTCAGAGAAAGGTTTTGTGTGAGTGGGTCAAACAGCTGCGGTTTCCTGATGGTTACGCTTCCAATTTAAGCCGATGCGTTGATTTGCAATCAGGTAAGTTACATGGAATGAAAAGTCATGATTGTCACGTGTTCATGGAGAGGTTGTTGCCCACTGCTTTGAGTGAATTGCTCCCTACCCATATATGGAATGCAATTACATAAATAAGCCAATTCTTTCGCGATTTATGTTGCTACACAATTACAGTTAGCGACATGGAGCGATTGGAAAAAAACATAGCTGAGATCCTGTGCAAGCTTGAGAAGGTTTTCCCCCCATCTTTCTTTAACTCCATGGAGCATTTACCAATTCATTTGCCATATGAGGGCAAGTTATGTGGACCTGTTCAATATCGGTGGATGTATCCTTTCGAAAGGTAAAAACAAAGTCCTTTCTCAACTCTTACTTTCATCTCTTTCATTGATTTCCGTTACTTATACTTCTACGGCTACATAAACATAATTACAGGTTCCTCAATCACCTGAAACGAAAAATTGGTAATAAGGCTCGTGTTGAAGGTTCCATATGCAACGCTTATCTCACTGAAGAGATATCAAACTTCTGCTCCAATTACTTTCAGCCCTAAGTTGACACAAAAACACGAGATCTAGGTCAAAATGTGAATGCTGATGTGGAATCCCCGGCTGACAATGATGAAATCCCAGAGCTGTTCACGGTGGATAAGGGTCGTGTGTCAAATTTGGGTAAAACTCGGTATTTAGATGACAAGGAACTTGAACGTGCTCATTTGTTCGTTTTAAGAAATACCGGCATTCTTGGTGAATACGAAAGGTATATATGTTTACGATAAACTTTTGAAAATCCCTTAAATTTAATATAATTGCTGCAATAATTAACCATGTGTCATTAATCTATTAGGCAGTTTGAGGACTACATTCTTAGTACTCGAACTTATTTGCGTCGAGAAGATGTCATGGAGAAATGCGAAAGTGAATTCCCTGATTAGTTTCATCACAAGGTGATAATACCTTTCGAACATTGCATCTCGATTAATTTGTGATAATATAATATAATATATTTCATTTCTATTAGTGTGACGCTTGTATTCGTAACGGTTATAGGTGAGAGAACAAAAACCAAGTTCCGATGTGTTGCGAGCATTGTCTATGAGGCCTTTCAAGCGTGTTCGAACTTGGAACCAGATATTTGTCGATGGCTTTAATTTCCACACACAGTCCTATGGCAAACATAAATCTACGATGAATTACGGGGTGTGTGTCTCAAGTGAGGACGGTGGAGAGTAATTTGGCATTTTAAACGACATAATTGAACTTGTCTACACCGGTCCCGAAAAAGAGTACAAGACTATTCTGTTTAGTTGTAGTTGGATGGATTGTGGTAAAGGAATGAACATTCATGAACAATACAAGCTTGTCGAAGTAAATCATACTAAGAAGTATCCCAAGTATGATCCATTTGTCTTATCTTACCAAGTGTCTCAAGTGTATTATGCATCTTACCCTAGCCTTAAACGTGATTGGGTTCAATGGTGGGCTGTATTTAGAACTCAAGCAAGGTCGGTGATTGATGCTCCGGTGGATTTAGAGTTTTTGCAGGGTCCTTCCCCACAAGTACATGCAACGCTTTGTCCACCAAATGACATTCCAGACTATGAACTTGATAGTGATGATGATGATGACGATGGCTTTATTATCTCAAGCGATGAAGAAGAAGAAGAAAGCATTGGCTCCAGTGACAGTGACGAAGAAGAGGACATCAATGTATTTTTAGATGACACTAGTGATAGTAATAGTGATAGTAATAGTGATAGTGATAATGATAGTGGTAGTAGTGATAAGAGTAATGAAGAGGAGAATATGTAGTTACTCCTTTTACTATTGTCTTCGAATGTTTAGTTTTTAATGACTACTCGGATTTGTAATATTGCATTACATTTTTGGTCTCATTTTTATTATTTTAATGTCTTATGGATCTAGTTTATGAATTTACAATGTGCGATTATGGTACTAATAACTTTTTCAGGTGGTCATCATGGGAGGAGGAAATAAAGGAGAAACGTCCAAGAGGAGAAAGTCTAAGGGGAAATCTCCGGTTGTACGTGTTGACGAGGATGAGTCAATGGAGGAAGCGGAGGCACATGATTTGGGGGCCTCTCAAGAAATCGTCAGAAATGTACAAGGGCAACAGGAGCAACAGCAGCTTCAGGAACAGGAGCTACAGGACCCGCATCCTAATGACTTGCTAGAGTTGGACCCTTCCACACTTTGGTGCGTATGTATTTGTATAATGAAATATCCTTAAATTCTTATTTACTTTGATAAAGTGAATTTGTATTACTTTAACCATGTTTTGTTCGCTTTTTGTTGATTATCTACTTACATGAATGTCTATCCTTTATTATAGGTTTGATGATAGGCCGGTGAAGAATGTGCTCTCCGACTCGCTAACCGGCTACTATGTTCAGCCTTGGAGGAATTATGGAGAGGTTGATGAAGATTCGAGAGAGCACTTTTGGAACTTGTTCAACGTATGATAACTTTAACCTAACATAATACATGTTTTATAAATTATATTGATGGAGTTGAATTTTGTAATAAAGACATTTTCTTGATTTGCAGAAAAAATTCAAGTGGGCACCTGAGTTAAACAACCAAGTGAAGGACACTTTCGAAGAAAAGTTTGCAAATCGCCTACGTGACACGTTCTACAACATCACACACAGACTGAATGGTCGCAAACCAAGATGGATTAATAAGGATGTCCACGAAGGCATGATGAAAATTGTTGCCACCGATCCAAAATATAAGAAGCGGTCGGAACAAAACAAGAAGAACCGAAGAGGCGGATCCATGGAAAATGTCGTTGAACCGACCCACTTTCAAGGTTCAATGTCATCTGTACAACATGCTAAAAAGATGGTAAGGTTACTACAATATGTCCAGTAACAATTATGTCATTTGTCTATTAATGAATTTTGGTGGGCTAACATGTTTTCATTGATTTTCTGCATGTACATATAAAGGCTGCAAAAAACCAAGGCCAATTACCAAATGCCCATGATCTATTCTTGAAGACACACTTCAAGGAAGTGCCTGGTAAAGGCCAAGTGACTGCCAACAACAAAGCAAAAAGGATTGCGGTAAACACTTATTATATGAGTTGAAATATGGCAAATTAGCAAAGTAGAACTCAATATATGCTTATTTTGGATGAATTTGGATGAGTTAGGGTCGAACATTGACATATGTGCTTATTTCTCTTAATTTCTATCCTTAGGCACTTACAAGAAATTGATATTGGAATGTTAGAAGAAAGAACGAGTCCATTTGCTTGAAAACTTAGAAAATAGGCATGGTTTTAGCCATATAGGCCAAATTTGGATGATTTTGGAGGAGTGAGGGTTGAAAATTGACATATGTGCTTATTTTTCTTAATTTCTATCCTTAGGCACTGAAAAGCAATTGATATTGGAATGTTAGAAGAAGTAACGAGTCCATTTGCTTGAAAACTTAGAAAATAGGCATGATTTTAGCCATATAGGCCAAATTTGGATGATTTTAGAGGAGTGAGGGTTGAAAATTGACATATGTGCTTATTTCTCTTAATTTCTATCCTTAGGCACTTAAAAGAAAGTGATATTGGAATGTTAGAAGAAAGAATGAGTCCATTTTCTTGAAAACTTAGAAAATAGGCATGGTTTTAGCCATATAGGCCAAATTTGGATGATTTTGGATGAGTGAGGGTTGAAAATTGACATATGTGCTTAATTTTCTTAATTTCTATCCTTAGGCACCTAAAAGTATGCGATATAACTCCATATTGTTTGTTGTTTTTTTAACAATATTTTATTTTATCTTCAATATTTTGTAGGACACCTACCAGAAGAAGCTCGAAGAAACAATGAGTCAGGGGATTCAGAAGAGTTCCAATGAGTTGTACTGGGAGTCGGTGGGTGGGCGCAATAAGAAGGGTCGTGTGAAGGGACTTGGCCAAAGTGCAGAGTTCTACTATGGAAAACAGGGTTGTGGTTCCCGTTCTTCAGAGCAATACACGCCGTCTGTCATTTCTCAAATGCAAGACCAGATGGAACACAGGGTGCAAACTCTTCAAACTCAAATGGAAGCCTGAATGGTTGAAATGGAGAGGAGATACAAGGAGAGTTTCGATGAGATGATGAGTCGTCTCAACAACAACGACTCATGTTCCACCATTCATCCTCAGCATCGGGACCCTAGGAACGACCCGGGTGGTGGTGGAGCAGGCCAGGGTTTCCAGGCGATTGCGTAGCTTAGCTTTAGTCTAGCATAGAATCACTCTAACCTAGCTTTTGTTTGGTATAGATACCAAAATGTGGACTATCTTTTGTACTAGGACATAATTATTATATATATATGTACATAACCCTAATTTCGTAGGTCGGTAATTAATTTTTTAAAAACAACAATTTTAGGACTCAATATTTATTTATTTTTTTTGTCGATTTATCATTAAAAAAATTCAGGTTTGAAAATGCAGAAAATTACAAAAATTTGTTTTGGGCTGGAAATACAATTTGCGACGGAATATTTCGTCGTAATTTACATATTTGCGACGGAATTTTCCCTCGCAAATTATAATTTGCGACGGAATTTTCCCTCGCAAAATATGATTTACGACGGAATTTTCCATCGTACAAATATACATTGCGACGGAAAATTCCATTGTAAATTATATTTTGCGAGGGAAAATTCCGTCGCAAATTATATTTTGCGAGGGAAAATTCCGTCGTAAATTATATTATGCGAGGGAACTCTTTCCGTCGCAAATTTGCGACGGAACTTCATCAAAGGCCAATTCCAAGTCCGACGATATTATTTCCGTCGTAAAATCCGTCGTAAAGTTGGTTTACGACGGAATTTCCGTCGTAAAATGGCCATTTTCCTACAAAGGGTTTTCCGACAACCATTTACGACGGAATTCCGTCGTAAACCAACTTTACGACGGAATTTACATAGTTTACGACGAACTTTTTCCGTCGTTATTAAGGTGTTTTCTAGTAGTGTCCTGGGCAATCTTCGCATCCTCCCAGGCACGCTCCAGCTTGTCTTGAAGGGTGTCAATCAGCTCTACAGTAAGAGTCTGATTGTGCACAACCTGTTTACTGGGGCACATCAGTAAAAAAAGAAAAAGAAAAAGAGAAAAGAAAGAGCCAAAAAGGAGGAGAAGGAGAAGAGATTAATAAAAGCAAAACAGAATAATTAAACGGTTAAGTACCTGCATCAGCAAACGCTGGTTGTCTCTTGCGGGGTCAGGGACCCTTCGGCTGGACTATCCCATTCCAGCCGTGGCCTTCAGCGACCACACCCTCGCTCGGTCCACCTCCGACATATCAGATAGGTCGCCGAAGTAACCTGCAGCCCGTTCACGGTTCTGGCCCCAAATTCGTTCCCAAACAGGTTCTGGGACTATGATGTGGGGGGCCGAGAAGCCCAAATCTCTAGATTTCAGCGTCTAGAATGATGGGAAGGAAGAAGAGGGAACCTCCTGAGCCTTCTCGGGCTCAGCATGTCCTTCCCTTTCGGCGGAGCCCAGCTGGTCTCCACCAGGGTCAGCAGTAATGACCTCCTCAGCTTCCTCCCCCAGATCAGGTTGACGAAGTAGAGCGTCAACCTCCCTATCAATATCATCTGAGAAACCTTTAGCGATTGGTTTCTCAGAGTCTTCAGCAGGGCGTCCCTGAACCCTCCCCTTCGGATCAGGAGTTCGTTGGTCCACCTCCATCTCTTGAGTCTCGGGAGGTGGAGGGGGGGTTTGAGGACGCGGAGCTTCCGGTGGAGGGGGAGCCCTCGGCGAGCGTCTACCTTCATCAGGCTCCCTTATTTGGATGCCCTCGGTAGGCCTCATCCCCGTCTGAAACTGACGAGGCCCCAGCACGGCTAACCTCCTCCTCCTCTTTGCCAAGGGCTGCTTGTCCATTTCTTCAGATTCTGACGAAGATAGATCCCCAGAACGAGCAGGCGCTTTCCCTTCTCTCCTTCCGCTCCCTTCCTCAGACTGCAGAAAGGGGGGGCAGCAAAGTGTGAGTAAAAAAAATAAAAAATAAAAAAAAACGAGCAAGTCAGGAACTCATCGGAACCCTCGGCTGAGCTCCAGGTGCAGGGATATCCCTCTCAACGGCACCAGACATCCCAACACCTCCTTCCAAGGAGTCGATTGCTCGGGACACGTCCTCGGCTGTCTGAGCAGCCTGTGCTTCCTCGGGTAATAAAGGCCTGAGGGGATCTCGCTTGTCCCACCAAGGCTTCTGCTTGGTGTAATCGGCGGCAGCCTCGATCTGAAGGCCCGTTTCATGCAGATGAAACGGACGGTTCTTCGGAGCCGTGATCGCCGGAGCCCGATCTAGAATGACTCGTTCGGCGTTCACCCCAAGCCGATTATAGTCAATACCCGAGGTAGCTTCGCTCAACTCTGAAAAGAATAGACGAAGGTTAGACTGGGGGAATAAGTATCAAAAATAAGCGGAAAATTAAACAAGTCAAAGTCCTCGGCCCCAGCCGAACATACTTACCATCCCTGTACTTTCGGCTGAGGCCGAAAACCGTCAACATCTTCTCTTGGAAGACGTAATGGTTATCTAGAAGCCATCTGGCCGGGATAAATCTCATTCGGCCAACTCCCCCAGGGTTATTCTGCTTCCCGAAGAAGCTCATTTTCTCGTAGCTGGGGTGACGAGCGGCATCAGGGTCCTCAGGGCCTAGATCCTGCATGTTCGGATCAGGCCTGGAGAGGTATCAGGGAGCTCCGAAAAAATAAGGGTGCTCCGAATCAGCGGGAACCCTCACCCAGACCCATTGACCTCTCTAATCCTTATCCGAAGAATCGTTCGGCCACATAGTTAGATATTGGGGGCGGCTCTCTATTCGCCACCAGCCTGAAGACCCGTGTTGGCCGTACACGCTCTGGATGTTCTGCACTAGCTGATGCATCCTTTAGAAGCAGTGCAAATTCGGCTTAACGGCAAAAAACCGGCACACTCAGAGATAAGTCATCACCCGCCGAATACTAACGGGTGTTAATTGGCATAGGGAAATCCTATACTTTATTAAAATATCCCTGACGAAGGGATCCAGGGGGAACCGGAGCCCATACTGTAATTGCCGAGTGTACACCCCAATATATCCAGGAGGGGGACGGTGCATCCTGTCAGTCGGCAAGGGCATTCGGCACCAATGCCCATCCTCCTCGAAAATGTTGTAGTGCAACTCTATTTGCTCGGCAAACCGGTAGGTTTCGGCGTGCCGAACCCACCAAGAGTAAGGAGTATTTCTCACCATGGCGTCCTGAGCCTCGGCGTCTTGCCATTCAGCATGCCCAGGGAGCAGGTCCCAGAGCACAGGGGGCAACTCTTCGGCCTGCCCAGCCCGTTCTCTCTGTTCAAGCTACCCCGCCTCACCGGCCCCGGCGTCCTGCTGAGGCGGCGCGACATTCAAAGGAACGGCCGGAATTTCCTTCTCCGAGTCTTCCCCGACTTGTTCCCCGTTCCAAATATCGGCGCGGTCACGGGGATCCCCAACCTGGCCCCGTCGACCCGGTTGACGCCCTCTTCCTCGAGCCATAACCAAATTCGAAAAAGAAAAGTAGGGAAAAGAGGGATTCTCTAAAAAAAAGGGCAAGAAAATCAAAAGAACTCGAAGAAATTTACCTTCAAATAGGCCGAAATGCGCCGGTCAAGTCAGTGGGAGTGACGGATTTGAGTGTCGAACTCGGATTCGGGAATATTGCGCCAAAGATTCAAAGCGAAATTGGGTTTCTATGAGAATTCGAGTGCAAATTGGTGAAGAAATGAAGCGAAAATTCGAATCAGACCTTATAATTCCGGAAGAGAGAATTCCAAAGGTCGAAAAAATTCAAATCTCTTTTAAATGCCTCCTTAATTAACCGTTAAACACTCTCTCATTTGATTAACCGCCCATTATCCACTCCATTTCCTATTAATTATCCAAATTACAGTTATTTAATTAATGACTGTTTAAAAATTTAAATCTTCTGATTTAATTAAATCATTTACTTCCCTCCATTTTTATTGGATTCAAACCCGACCCGTCATCCTTCCAAATCGGGTCTGGGGGGGGGGCAAGTTGTTTGGGTCCAATTTATCTAATTGGACCTAGTCATTTGTTTGGGTCCAATTATCTAGTTGGGCCTGGTCATTAAATGATCCAATATTCCAAGGTCAAGGCCCAAGCCTCCAATCAAGCCAAGTCAGCCATGAGTCCTTTGGTCCGAATTGCTATGATCAGCCCATGACTATTTAAGGGCCCAATTACTCTCCTTTCCTCATATGCAAAGGTATAAAAGCCTTCAATTGATTTTTTTATGATATACAAAAAAAAGCCTCAAGTATAAAATCTCTTGCATAGCTTCCTCTCTAAATACACTGTTTGACTTCGGCATCGGAGGGGTCTTCCTCGGATCCACCCCCAAGGCCAGTTTACGTGTGTCTTGCTGTGCAGGAAACCTTCGGCCCAGCTTCCCTTGGACCGGACAAGTCTTCATCCACTTTATTGGACCTTCAGCGAGGTCCCATTGTTTTCATCCGAAACAGATATGATGAGGCATAATAAAAAAAATTGTGTTTGTTTTTGTTTTTTTTTTAAAGAGGGATACTATATTACTATTGTCACATTCTGTTTTGTTATTTCAAAGGTGATTTATGTATAGTACGTACATGACGTAACTTGTCCCACATTTATTATACAGATCGATGTTTTTTTTTTATTTTTTTTTATTTTTTTTTGTATTTGGTGAGAAAACAATGACACGAGTTGGACATCCATGGAAAATTCAAAAGATAATCTCCGTATAATATTTACTTTGACGACGTTGATAATCTTTTTTTTTTTTTTGACAATAGCAAAAGAACAAGCAAACTAAGAAAAAGTAGACAACGTAAGAAGACATCTTCTAGCCATATCGTTAGCCCGTTGTACCTGATCTCTTAGCACCTTTAAAATTGCACACTTCAAAAAGGTTGCCCCTACCTCCCTAATTTCCTTAATCAACCAGGTTATCGAGACATCCTTACCTTGGTTATCTTGCAGATTGTTAAGGAAGGAAATAGATTCGGAAAGTAGACGTTGATAATCATATTACTCAAGTTGGTTTAGACAACTAGACAAAATGAATGATGTAAATTTCAGAAAATTAAATCCACAATTGACTTTTTATGCATTTTTGGATGCTGACTTACATGTTACAATATCGATGTGATAGTGGCCTCCATGGAAAATTTTAGAGAGAAACTTGATGGAGGAAATGAAAGTGAAACTTTAAATCCAAAAACTAGAGCAAGTGGCCATGTGGGAAAAATTGAAGGCTTATTTTGTTCTCGTTAATATCACTTATTTTAGGTATAATAAGTTTAATTAAATTTTCCTAAAAAAAAATAAGTAATTGTAAACACCC